TGTGGGGGGGGGGGGGGGGGAGAGTGTGAATTTGCAGCATTGCAACCTGAACGCCAGGCCAGCACTCATTTATGTACCAGCCTCTCCCGCCGCGCTTGCACACCCGTGGGGCTTTCGGAAGGCCTCCCCACCCTTTGTTTTCTGCCCGAATCAAACACAGAAGTTCATGGTTGCTGATCTGACGGGTGAGGAGTGGGTACTCCCGGCTCGATCGGTGCCAACGGCAGGGGCGGACAGGAAAATCGGAACGCTCTTAATGTCCTCCCAAAGAAAATCTTTGATGGACAAAAGAGCGGTTGTATTTTTACCCTCTCCCTTCATGCTGCCAGGCGTCTTTAAATAGATCCGCTAGCCGAGGGACTTGTATGGAATAATTCATATTGAAACCCCAAGAAGTGGCAGAAGAGGCTTCTTTCTTCTCTTTCTTTCCTTTCTCCCCCCTCCCCCCCCCCACCCCTTGTCAAGTGAACAGGAAAAGACTCATTTTCATTCAGCTGTGTTAAATTTCTCCTTTCGGGTCTTTTAATGAACTTGAGCTAATTCGGAAAGGACTACGAAACCCCCCTAGGAAAAGAAAAGGAATAGGAAGCTGCATCGTCGATGGCTCTTGGATGCCTTTTGGTCCCAAAGACATTAGCAGCATCTTCTAAAGATGCTTTGAAACCCATCTTTTAAGGGGTTTCGTGAGGCTCTTAGATGGGCACGCCTAATTGAAAAGTCCAGTGCCTTCCATTTGCAACTCATAAACCAAACGGTTGTTCTGCTGTTAGGAGAGAGAGAGAGCGAGAGACAGAGAGCGAGAAAGACAGACAGACAGAGAGACAGAGAGAGAGAGAGAAGACAGACAGACAGACAAAGTCCTCCCATTTCCCCAGCCCCATGCATTTCTTCACTCTCCCTTTTGCCCAACTGGGTTTCCAAAAGACATTCAGGGTCGCGCCAGCCAAATGAAAAACCCTGTCTGTCCTTCTTTTTCCTTGGGAAGGGAAGGCTGTGGGAAGGACAGAGAAAGGGGGCGGAGTGGGGCCTGAGGATCCAGGGAGCTTTGTTTCAAGCCACTTGTCCCCGAGACAGAGAATAACCACATTTCTCTTAATGTGGGCCGAAGTGCATCTAGGCGTTCCCAGAGCCGTCCTACACCCCCCCCCCCAACTCCCAGCCCTGCGCCGGAGATGTGCGGGGTCACTGTGATGGTATGCCTGTCCCCGCCAGCCCGGGGTCACCCCAGCCCCGCTCTCCACCGCCGCAGGGGCAAGGCGAGCCCTGATTCTCTCTGCCAGTGCGTTCAGGCCCCAGGGGTCCAGAACGCCCCCCAAATCCTATCAGCCTGGCAGAGCCGCTGCCAAGAATGACATCCTGAGAATACTATGAAGATGGGGGGACCTCACAGGGCTGCTCGCCCCGGATGGAGCAGGACCCAGGCTGTCTGGAAAATCCCGGCAGGGCGAAAGAGCAAGCTCACAATGGCCCCAGCTCAGGCGCAGGGGCAGGGGGGCGGGGTGCGAGTGGTGGAGAGCGAAAGAAAATAAAAGCCACATGCCACCCAGGAAGATTCCAGGGCGGGCGGGAAGGAGGTGGTGGAGGAAGGACTTGCAGGAAACAAGTGCCCAGACGTGGCACTGCCAGTCTAGCTGGATTCTTTTCTGAATTAGATTATGCGAAAGAAAGCGGGGAAATATATAGCCCGCCAGCTGTTCAAAGGCTTACAACCTTGCTTTTATTGTCCGGGTAAGTTGGTGAGGTGGGGCATCAGAGGAATTCCAAACATACCAGCCCGGAGAAATTTTAATATGTTCCACAGTGTCATACACAAAGAGGAAATGACAGCTGATCACAGCCAGGGCAGGCCACAGTGAGATCAGGGCCCTGAAGCACGGGGCAGCTCGCCTCCTCTGTTTTAACACTTCTGTCATTCCACCTGCCTCCCCATCCCTTCTGTCCCTGCTGGCCCAGCCGGGGCGGGGGGTGGGGGGGCGGCGGGGGGAGGTGGCCTGGACAGAGCAGAGCAGCAGATGAGCATCATGGGAAGAGGTGAGGTTGGCCTTAGAGGCGGCTGGCCAAGAAGCCAGAAGAGGCTGGCTAGGGTGAGTCAGGCACCCCAGGGAGTCAGAAGCATTTTAATCCAACCACGGGGGCTTATCTGCTGATAAGGCCCCAAATCAAGGACTCTGGTGATGCTGTCTGCAGGGCGGTTTTTTTGCTTTTTTTTTCCTCCCTCCGAATAACCTTCCCAAGCCAGAAAACACAAGTCGGCCTTATTTCAAAGGAACACCGCGCTTGGCCCTGCCTGGGACCGAAGCTCGGGGAAAGAGACACTTCCGGCAACTTCTTCCCAGGGGCCCCTTGAATTTAGGCCAGACCCCAGAGGTCCCTGGTTGGGACCCTGGGGGGGCGGGGCTAGTGAGCGGTGGGAGACAGCGATAGCATCTTCCTCTGGGCATGTTTTTAATTCAGTGATTCATCCAGTGGCCCTGATGTCAGCTGCTGACGAGGTGACTCACAGCCGTCCCTGATAGAGACAGCACGTGGTCCTCTCCAAAGTGTGCTCAAGGGAGCAGAGAAAGGATAAACTGGCCCCCTTTTCCTGGCTTCCTCTACCCAGGCGGGAAAGGCTCCGGGCCTTGTTAGCTTGTTAGTGACGTGTACCCCGAGATCCGGTGATTGAGGCCTCAGGGGAACCCCTTCCTCATAAATGGAAAGGAAACCCATTGATAAGCGACACTCGTTTGCAGTAAACCTGGGTATCGGCAGATATTGGAAGCCGCTCTTTGTTACAAGGAAGTCATTGACCCATTTTCCCGTTGGCAAAGTCCGACTCGGTCCGCACATCTAACTGGAGAGAGCATCCAGGCTGAGAATGAGGGCATGGCACAATGCCTCATTCACCTTTGCATCGATCAGGACTCGCACAATTTCTTAAAAGAATGATGGAATGAATAATTAACCAATAAGGATAATAGCCCTTGAATCGTGAGTCCTTAAAATCCAGAAGAAATGGCCAGCCACCATCGGTGGCTGTGATTCTGAGAAACTCACATTTTTCAAGGGCCCGGGAAAATAAATGAGTTGGAAAGTGCTAAATGTATTGAAAAATGATTTATTTTCCCCCTTGACAGTGCCACTAGAACTCGAATTAAGATTGAAAACTCCACAGGCATGTTTTCATGCGTGGGTGTCGGCTGCTTGGTACCGAGTCAGTCAAGAAGGCCTCGGTCAGTTTTCCCTTTACCTGAACCAAACATCTGGTAAAGTAAACACTGCAAACCTTTGCATTTTGTGTTCAGACATTCTCATACAATGACCCGAATAACAGCAGAAGAATATTGTTTCCACTCAGCTGACAGCTCCGTTAACAGCAGTAGCCAAAAAAAAAAAAAAAAAAAAAAAAGATCACCATAAAATTGCATGGCGATAGAACCCATAGTACCCTTCCAGGCTTTATCCACCGGTGAATATCCCAAAGTTGTAAATTAACTCATTCGCCAGCTGCATTTTCACTCAACAATGCCCGCTAGGCCAGTTATTAGAGAAGATCAGGCAAGTTCCCCATAAACGGAATAGGACCCTACAGTTTACTTTCAGAAGCCAGACTGGTGAGAAGGAAAAGGGCAGATATTTGCATCTGGTCTAAATGGCACACTCGAGAAGCATTCTGCAGTCCCCACTGTATGTGGCTGACACCCACAGCGACGCTGCATTGCAGGCGTCTCTACGTTCTCAAACGCACCAGGTATTTAACGTTACGTGTCGGAACGGTTTGCGGTTGCCAGTTCCTTGTAATTAAAATACGCTAATATTAGAAACGAAGAGAAGAGACGGTTTCACAGCACCCATATCTGTTACTAATGACGGTTACAAAGGACAAGGGAGTGGGACTCCCATCTCGCCAAAGGGCTTCCTTCGCTGCACCTGAATCTCACTGGAGCAGGGAGCCTCCTCTTCCGTGCAGGTTTATCTGGGCTCGTGAATTACAATGAGCCTCAGTCACAGCGCATTCTGAGTCATTAACATTCTGTACACAAACTTCCCGGCCCCCAAGAAAGAGTTATGCCCAGGCCTCCTACAGCCCGATTGTTCATTTAAAGAGAGAACGTGCATTTGGGAGCTCGAAAGAACCCTCCGAATATTCCTCAGGTGTCTGTAGGAGTCATTCCTACAGGTTCTGGTCTCTGCGCTGGTGGGAGCATCCTTTCTCGGTCACCCGCTCGGACAGGGCAGCATCGGTCGAGAGGGAGCCGCGGGGACAAGCTGACTACTAAAAATAACCCTTTGCAATAAGGCCAAGGCAAACAGCATGCATTTCCTCGGACTTTTTGCCCAATCAAAATCCTATAGTAAACTCGTCCCTCTCCCTCCCCAGCGCTCCGGACTGCGTCTATGGAAGCGAAGTCCTTGCACGTTGGGAGGAGAGTGCAAGGGAACAGGATTCCTACAAAGCGTGACACAGAAAGCTAGAAATAAATGTTGCCTATTGTTTGAAGTCATTCTAAGCACTCCGGCGGAGCCCTGGCAGGAGATCAGCAGCATACAGAAGTAGTAATAAAAGTAAACAGTGCGCTTTTAAACTCGGAGGGTTGCCCGGCTTCGTAGTGCCCCCATTGTAACAGGGATGAGGGCGGTGGGCAAGGAATCCACGTCGCCCAGTGCTGCTTCCCAGCCTCCTTGAGCCGGGTCAAATAGAAGAACCGTTACAAAGTTCCATCGGACTACGCAGAGAGTTCGAAAATAAAATCTCTTTCGGTCAAACCCAAAGGGATTTTTCCAGCAGCCTCTCCGCGAGGCTCCCCGGCTCGGTCGCAGACTTCAAAGACCCGTTCATTTAAAAAAAAAAAAAAAAAAACCCCACAATGCTAGCATGCTACCGATTAATGCAAATTCAAGTAATGCAAATTTAAGTGGTATTTAAAGGTTGTCTCTTTGTCTGAGAGGAGGATGAAATGGTCGGTTTGGAAAGAAGCAATTTCCTAGGCAAGCCGTCAGCGCTTGTTTTTCCTGCTTACCTTAGGGGAAACGTAGGGCTCCTTTCTTCTCAGACTTTTCTGAGAGCTAGAAAGAGGTCCTGTTACTTCCAAATGCTTTTGTTCTTCTGTCCCTCTGTCACATGGCTTGCCTTTTATATTTGCAACACACAAAAGTTAGGACTGTTGTTTAAGCGACACAGGGAGAGAGAGAGGGAGAGGGAGAGGGAGAGAGAGAGAGAGAATGTCAAATGGAAAAGTGCCATTGCAGTCATATATCAATCAGGCGTGCGGCCGCAGCAGCGCACTAGCAAATGGGAATGCCACGGAAATGTGAGGCGCTCCTTATGGGGGACTCGGCCACTGCCCACCGCTCGGCTCCCTTCCACGGAGCATCTTACGATGGAATGGGAACAACACAGAAGAACTAGAGCAAGGGCGAGGAAGTTTCTTCCCCCCCCCCACCCCCTTTTGGAATAACAAGAGGCTGAATGAATATTCTGGGTTTAATTCTTTGGCAAGTGTGCCCCGGAGATGGGCAGTCCGCAGGGAAGAGTCGTAGTTTTGGAAATACAGGGACGGTGGCATTCTGCTTAACGATTCAGCAGCTGCCTGAGATGAAGTTGAAATTCTAAGGGAGGAGGAGGAGGACGGGAATCAGAACTACTTCTCTCTCAGGCGATGCTGTGGAAGCAAGTGCAAAATGCTGCCCTGTTTCATCACGATGTGTGTGGGTTGTGAGAGCTCTTTTCTGAGTTGTTCATCCATTACATGATTTTTAGCAGCGTGCACGTGATGAAATCCACAAGGACCCTTTAATAAGTGCCCTCATCTGCATCATTTAGAATACAACTCTCCATATGGTTTTGAAACAATGAGAAAGTGCAGCCCTTGGCTCCTTGGAATATACAAGGGTGAAACTAACAGATAACTCTCCATATGATTTTGAAACAATGAGAAAGTGCAGTCCTCCGGGTTCCTTGGAATATACAAGGGTGACGCTGACAGGTAACTCTCTATATGATTTTGAAACAGTGAGAAAGCGCAGTCCTTGACCCCTTGGGATAGACAAGGGTGAAACTAATAGGTAAGGCCAACTCACCAGCGAAACAGCTAGTTTTGAACAAAAGTGGTAAAGGTCACTGTGTGTGGGCGCTAAGTGCTTGCTAGCTGAATAATGCTGCTTAGGAGCTGTGAAAATGCAAAGGGGAGTATTTCCTTCAAAAGCTGACAATTAAGACAGAAAACCATCAAAAAATTTTTGTGGAGAACACCAAGAACCATCGAACCATTTATACATTATTTTATGTCACATGGACATAGTCCCAGAATATTTTTTTTTATTAACCATGATGAAGAATTAAACTGAGAATATTTTTAAAAATGACATTTCACGGAAGAGTAAATGTATCATGAAACTGAAGAAGAAATTTCTCTTGGGAGGTCCGTATAGTTGTAGATGCCAAAACTGTCACGTTCAGCTGTACCAAATCATTTATTGTTCATTAATAAGTTGATGATCACATCATTACTTTTCCATAGAACTTTTACTCCAGTCATTGATGTTTACAAGAGGTGTCTTCAAATGTTCAGTTTTACCTCTACCTTTTTCAGAAGAAGCCTTTTCTTTTGCTGTCAGCAAAACTCTGTCTACCTGGGACCAGCCCCTTATAAACAGAATCCACCTACAAGGCTAAAGGAGAGAGGACACGTTCAAAGCCTTGCAAGAAAACCCGGCACTAGGGCCGCTGATGATATTGGGCAAATGTCTTAAAAGCAGAAGATCAAAAATGCAAATGGAAATTGGGCCTTAAAAATGGAAACAATCTGAAAGGGAAAATGACTTGTAGCTGAGTAAGAGCCATGGAAATAGTCATGAACACATTTTCTGGCTCAGTTCTCTCTGGGTCAGATCGAGAGGGAGGGTGAACTCTTTGGCCGCTGACCTGTTCAAATATCAGAGCTTGACGCCCATCCACCTTTGTTCATTTCTCTTCAATAAATACCTTGTGGCTTTCCCCAGGGACGGTCACCACCCCGCCCTACTATCTTTTTCCTCTGGGTTTCTCCGAGTTTATCTGCTCTGAAGGGACATGAAGAGGTGTATGGCCCTTCCCGGTTGGAATTTTCCAGCCATTTATTCTGTCAGGGGTGGCGAAGAATACCATCTGCTCCCCTCTCAAGAGAAAGGCTTCGCCTCCGCCCATTGGGTTCCAGAAGGCCAGTTTCTGAGCCTATCAGTAGGCATCTGGCGACAGCAACTCTTCTCCTCACATCGTGCTTTTAAGAAAGGTCACTGTGCCATGTGTGGTTGGTTGCTTTACCGGCTTGTCGTTAGCGGTGCTGAGGAAGAAGGGTTCCCTTTACATTTCCACCCATGCCAAAAGGGATGAAAACGCTCCCGCTGCGATTTCACGGGCACTCAGGGTGCTGAGAAGGAGGTGTCTATCAGCTGGATGGGAAATCTTTTAAGGGATCCCTTCTGAGCCTTTGATTTCTGGTGCTGCTTTCAGGTTGTCTCTCTCTCTCTCTCTTTTTGGATACTCTAATGGATATTTACTGGAGTCGCCCAGCATCCGAACACCCGGGAAGGGATGGGTAATCCCAAGATGGATCCTGCCTCCTCCCTGCGGAATCTGAAGGGAGGAGGTATTTCTTCTCCCCTCTTCGGGCAGCAGGAGAGCCAGGTGGAAGTGCCATCCAAGAGGAGTGGCCAAGACCTGCAGACATTCAAGGGTTATTCTCCATGGTTGCTCTGGAAGGGAGAGCCCAGAGCATACGACAACCAATGTGGGGGCAACAGAGCCCAGTCACATCATCCTGGGGACACAGGGTCCAAGAAGTCAACCTTAGCAATCTGCTCTCTTGGGCTACATCCGTATTCACCATTTTATGAGCCTGGATCGCCAGCTCTCCTCACAATTCTATGAACTGCACCCCCGATCACCATACCCACCAAGATCCTACCAATAGACTCCTTTCTGCTTTAATTAGCTAGAGGCAGTTTCTGATGTTGGCAACCGAGTGTCCTGACCTGAGCATTCTATTTTCCAAATTTAGGCAGACCAACATCATCGGCACACAGATGGAATTGTAGCCTTTACTTCTTCTTAGCCACGTCCCCCGATAAACAAATGGTTTCAGATTCATCGACTGTCTGCTCTAGTGTCTGTTATAAAATTTCAAATGTAGAAAATTGCCAATGAGACCCATCGTTCTTATATATCAATACTTATCAAGGTACCCACTGAGAACCAGTAACATTTGGTATCATATCTACATGGATAAAGACAGGAGTGTGTGTGTGTGTGTGTGTGTGTGTGTGTGTGTGCGCGTGCGTATGTGTAAAATCCCACCATACCAGCATAATCTGCTAGTTATGGTTTTTAATTCTCTCTGAGAATACTAATCTTTACCATCTTCCTGAATATGAGCGTATTCATTCAAAAATATCTATCCATAATAATAACAACTAGTTAATGCTTGTTGACTTTCTGCTGGGCTCTGAGCAAAATATTCTATATATATGATCTCTTTCAGAGAGATACGCAACAATCCTGTAAGGTGAATACTATTATTCTCTTTCATACTAAGGCTTTGGCTCAAGTGTATTCATTTATTTTTGAGAGAGAGTGAGAGAGAAAGAGTGCATATGAATGGGGGAGGGGAAGAGAAAGAGGGAGAGAGAGAATCCCAAGCGGGCTCCGCAGTGCCAGCGCAGAGCCCAACGTGGGGCTCAAACCCACGAACCGTGAGATTGTGACCTGGGGTCATCAAAAAACTCAAGCTCCTTCTGCTTCTATCGTGCTCACTATTCTTGGCTTCTGTTCCCTGGCAGGTTAATTCATGAACCCAAGATAGCCGGTGGGACTCTAGAAACCACATCTAAATTCAGGAATCAAGAGGAATGGACAAAAGAGCTTGTTCTGTGCCTGCTTCTTCAATTGGGAGGAAGATCTTTCCAGAACCCCCAGGGGCTTCCCCTTGCATCCCACTGTCCAGAACCTGGCCACATTCCCACCGCCACCATAGTCTCTGTCAAAAGAAGCACTGTTGTGATGACTGGCCTGGCTTCATTGTGATCCATGCCCTGAGCTGGGTATATGGCCTACTAGGCATAGTCAGATTCTTAGCGATCAAGGAGAATGACCAGTAGGTGGGTAGATAGCCGGTAGCATCTGCCACAGGGAGAGCCACCATATATACTTCAGAGTGTGACGAATGCTGTGAGGCACATAAAACAGTAATGAGATGAAGAGTCACCAAAGTAACATGGGAAGAGGGCTGCGTTAATGGGGTGACCAGAGTTGGGCAATCTGTGGAGGTGACATTTGAATGTAAATGCTAAGAGCATACCTGGTAAGTGGAAATGTCAAGGCGGCTGGAAAGAGGGAGGGGGATGAGCGATACGAGAGGGGCCAGAGATGAAAGCGGCAGCCATACACATCACATAAAGTTTTATTGGCCAGTGGAGAGAGTTCGGGTCTTCCCATCGGTTGAATTGTGTCCCCTCCAAAAACCATCTGTTGCAGGCCTAACCTCCAGTACCTCGGAATGTGACCTTATTCAGAAACAGGGTCTCTGGCTGGGGGGTGTGGCTCAGTCGGTTGAGTGTCTGACTTCAGCTCGGGTCATGATCTCACAGTTTGCGAGTTCGAGCCCCACATCAGGCTCTCTGCTGTCAGTGCAGAGCCCACTTCAGATCCTCTGTCCCCCTCCTCTATGCCTGTCCCTTGCTCACTCTCTCTGTCCCTCTCAAAATAAAGAAATCAACTTAAAAAAAATAAATTCGCTTATTAAAAAAAAAAAAGAAATAGGGTCTTTACAGAGATAACCAAATTAGTATGCGGTCATGACTGTGGGCCCTACTCCGATAAGACTGATGTCCTTATGAGAAGGGGAATTTTATTTTATTTAAAAAAATTTTTTTTAATGTCTTTATTTTATTTTGAGAGACAGAGACAGAGAGTGAGTGGGGGAGGGTCAGAGAGAGAGGGAGACACAGACTCTGAAGCAGGCTCCAGGCTCTGAGCTGACAGCTCAGAGCCTGACGCAGGGCTCAAACCCACGCACCCTGAGATCATGACCTGAGCCGAAGTCAGATGCTTAACTGACCGAGCTACCCAGGCACCCCGAGAAGTGGAATTTTAGACACAGAGATGGACATGGACAGAGGGAAAATGAGGTGAAGACACATAGGGAGAAGATGGTCATGTGACTGGAGTGATGAATTCCTAAGCCAAGGAAGGCCAAAGACTGCGGATGAACAGCAGGAGAGAGAAGACACACGGAAGGACCTTTCCCTCAGGCCATCAGAGAAAACACAGTC